GTTATTTTATACCATTTATTTCCATGTTGTAGCATTGTCTTTCATGGACTGACAAATGACAGATTTCCGGGCGAAATAAGTCACAAGAAGACGAGTTGCACTCTTTTGTTGCCATGTGGGTGCCGAATTTTTGGGATGGTCAAAAATGTACATCCCACATGTTTAATTATATATATATATATATATATATATATATATATATATATATATAATATATATATATATATATATATATATATATATATATATATATATATATATATAAGGAATTCGCAAGAGCAGGCGAAATATACACAAACTCTGATCTCTGGTTGAAGGAGACTCGAACCTACGTGTAGACAGCCTGTACTGTCTGCACAGGCAGCCCATGCTGTCTGCCAGCTCAATTCATATTTCACGCCACTAAAGTGCTGCCCTCTGGGCCTGTTCAAGTCTGTGGGAAGCTGGTCCCACATGCTCTCACTCAGCGACCTAGCAGGAAGACACAAGGCCTACTAGCTTTCTCCCTCTCGTGGCATGGCCTACCCGGGCCATGGGCACAACACACAAACCTGTGTATCACCACTACTTTACAAATAAAGTAAGAAGCCTCGGGAAGAGGTATCATTCACGCACCCGCTTTCATCGTACCAAATAATTTCGTTATTAATGGTGGGAAGCGGTGGTCGCAGCAGTTGTTTGCTCGGAGAGAGGAAGGGATGAAGTCATCTTCACTTCATCACCCCATGCAAGAAGCATCCGTCTCTCAACGAGTTATCCTGATGTCGTGTCTGCACGTTTCAGCATCCAGACACAGGTACAAGCAGGATTCAGCCGAAATTTGCCGAATTTCTTCGAGAATTGTAAGTGGCGTCCCAGTGACCCCACGCTACAGCGTCCCATGCTGTTTCCTCAAGTCACGTGTTCAGCGTTACTTGTATGTTGCTGTTGTTGTTCAGCTCAGCACAGCTGTTTCAGCAAGCCAGAGGTGAGTTTTGTGGTGATTTCTGCATCCAGTGTGTCTCCTTGTGTTTGTGGGTGGGAGGAGGAGGAAGTGGCCAGATGCTCCCTCGCCGTACACTCACCCACGCTCCTCGCCACCACACTACCATACACTCACCACTACTCACTCCCTCTGCTGTGTTTTCTGCTGTTTTCCGTGTGAAATGGTCGCCAGAGCTGTTTATCCGAGTGCCTGAGGCCACTCGAAGCCACGTGGATCTGCAGGCCACGTGGATCAGCAAGCCACGTAGATCAGCAAGCCATGTAGATCAGCAAGCCACGTGGATCAGCATGCCACATAGATCACGACACCACGTGGATCACGATGCCACGTGGGGTGTGGGCGAGGTCACGTGGATCTACAAGCCACGTGGGTTACCAAGCCAGATGTCCCAGGCCACATGCTGTGGTCTGCTGCCCACATCACATTGACGTCACCGACGATGCTGCCCGACTTCATGACGTCACGATGTCTGCCTGACATCACCTCGAGATGTCTGCTGATGTCACAGTGCTGCTGACGTCACCTCGCGACGTCCCGCCTGACATCACACATGTCACATCGAGTGTTTCTAGTAATTATTTCAGTATTGTCGAGATTGAGAGAAGATATGTTGTGTGTTAATTAATTCCTCTCGGTCAGTGTTCTCACATGTTAGAGTAGGGCTTAGTGTCAGTTTTGTGCACAGAAAAGCATCATTTGCTAGTTTAAGCCATGTTATACTGCATGTACTGTGGGTGTGTGTAGCTTCCGTGTGTCCAGTGAGGTCTGAGCCAGACCTGAGTAGCACCACTGTGCTAAGTCACCCGGTGTGACCAGCACATTTGACAGCTGATATTAGTCATCCCTGAGAGTATGAGCCCCTTGTACAGAAAACTCTTATGCTCTTCGCGCATAGATGTTCTGCAGAATCGTACCTGCTACGATTCCCATCGATATTTGTTTCACTTCACCTCCAGACCTTCAGAATGCAGTTATATGTAGAGAAACAAGTCTGGGGATGCTTAGACCAACCTCTGCTATAACTCCAACTGCCGAGAGAATAACACTCGTCAAGCCGCAGTTAGCCCTGTCGGCAGGAGCTGTGTCAGCCTCGTGTCACAAGCTTCAGTGAGCAGCCTGCACGAAGAGATGTCACTTCGACTGCTAGCTCGCTCACTGCAGTCTGGTGTATGATGTTACGACTCCAAATGTTTCACCCAGTCGTCTCTGCCATGACTCACTCCACGCTCGCCGGCAGTGACAGCCCAGCGATAGTACCAGTCGAGAAGTGTCCTCCTGAGTCGCTTGCCAGGAGTCCTGCCCAGTTGCCGAGTTTTGACGATGCCTCACTCGAGGGCACCAGCATGTCATGCCCCAGGTTGAGTGAAAACCTGCAGCAACTCCTACGATTACTGCTTCACCGTTCTAGAGGAGACCATACCCTGTTACGTCACAGCTCAGCTGCAGCGATGTCTCCTGTGTTGCAGTATGTGTCCAGACGCAGGAAGGCGTGCAGTGATGCCCTTCGACGCTCACTGCCTTTGACCACGATGTTTAGCACACCCCACATATTTTTTTTTCCTTCCCTGTAGGAATTTTTTTTTTCCATGTCCATATGTATATATAAGATTTTATTTTGTATTCTGTGCCCTGTTCCTAAAAGAGAGAGAGAGAGAGAGAGAGAGAGAGAGAGAGAGAGATTGAGTTTTTTTTTACCGCCAGACATGGTCGGGACGACCATATGGCAGGTGGCCGAGCATACGTAGACAGCCTGTACTGTCTGTACAGACAGCCCATGCTGTCTGCCAGCTCAGTTCATATTTCGCGGCACTAAAGTGCTGCTCTTTGGGCCTGTCCAAGCCTGTGGGAAGCTGGTCCACACGCTCTCACTCACACAGCGGCCTAGCAGGAAGACACAAGGCGTACTAGCTTTCTCCCTCTCGTGGGATGGCCCCCTGGGCCATGGGCACAGCTCACAAGCCTGTGTACCCACCACGGCATTTACAAATAAAGTAAGAAGCCTTCGAAGGCGTTTATCATTAACCACCCGCTTTCAGCTCTACCAAATCCCTTGGAACAAGGTACGCAGTGCTATACCATTCTCACCACACTGGACCAATACCTTGGCGTCCAGCTTGCGCTAGACTTTGATCCAAGGCAGCCAGCTTTCAGGGAGAAGGCTTACAGCTTTACATCTTGTTCCAAGGTTCGTAGGTTCGAGTCTTCTTCAGCCAGAGATCAGTGTTTGTGTATATTTCGCCTGCTCTTGCGAATTCCTTGCATTGTTAAAATCTCTAGTAAGGCTGATGCATGCAGGGGATGAGATGAAAAGCTGTAAGCCTTCTCCCTGAAAGCTGGCTGCCTTGGATCAACGTGTAGCGCAAGCTGCATGCTAAGGGATTGTTCAGTGTGGTGTGTGAATGGTATAGCACTGCATACCTTGTTCAAAGGTTCGTAGGTTCGAGTCTCCGTCAGCCAGAGAACAGTGTTTGTACATATATATATATATATATATATATAAAATATATATATATATATATATATATATATATATATATATATATATATATATATGTATAACAGGTGGGACGTGCATTTTTTACCATTCCTAAAAGTGCGGCACCTACATGGCAACAGAAGAATGCATTTCATCTTCTTGTGACTTAAGGCGTCATGGATTAAGGCGTCATGAGTTTTCGCCCACCATGAGGCAGGCCAAAGCAGCATGGGTTCGAGTCCTTGGCTAGTCGCAGTGTTGTTATTGATCACAATACCACTCGTTCGTAGGCACAATAATATAAAATGCTGCTCGTTGTACTCGTACACCAAACAGGGACTAGAATAAAATTAGCCTAGAGTCATCGACACCATCGTATGTCCTTGGGTAGTGAATACAACATCCAGTTCCGATGGATGCGCTACTCTTAAGGATTGTATGGTCCAGTGGATTAATGCGTCATGAATTTTCGTTGAGGCTGGCGAATAACAACACTGCACTAGCCGAACCCATGCTGCTTTGGCCCGTCTCATGGTGAGCGAAAACACATGACCCCTTAGACCACTAGACCACACAATCCTTAACAATGGTGCATCCAGCCAAGGACATACTGTGGTGTTTACGTCCCTGAGCTAATTTCATTCTACTCCCTGTTTGTGTACTAGCTCAACAAGCAGTATTATTGTACCCACGAAACGATTGGTATTGATCATTGAGACGGCCAAAGCAGCATGAGTTCGGCTCCTTGGCTAGTGCGGTGTTGTTATTGATCAATACCACTGTTTTGATGTACCCCGTGTCCATATCTCACTGTGTAAAAACCTCTATGCACATAAAGAGCCCCAAAATTTGGAATTCATTATCAGTAAATACTAAAGTAACCAGGTCTGAACACCAATTTAAGCCACTTACTCACCTTAAACTAAATACTCAATACTCAATATTTAACTTTACCAAAAAATCTCCCAATTACCTAAATCTTAAAACTTCAAATTTAGACTCCCAAAGTTCATAGATTATTAATCCTACATTGTAGAATAAATACCTACCCAAAACAATACTGCCTTACACCCAATTGTAACATTCTCATACTGCAAACTACTTTTAACAACTCACAATGTTATATTCCCATCATATAATTTCAATATTTATTATTGCAACTGTTGTAATTTGAGTGAATTGCTGTCGACTATAAATAAAAACAGATGTACAACTTAAACAAACTATGATCAATTTCTTTAGTATTAAGTAGTCATTAAGCCATTAAATTAAGTCTGCCCATAATACCTAGGCATGATAATGACTCTTTGCTCTGCAACTCATTATTGTAATTTCATAATCTCAATGTAATCTTCCAAAGAAATAAAATTTGTTTTTGTTTTTTTGTTTTGTTTTTATCTTTAAACGTATAAGAGAAAATCGTGGCGAGAGTGCAGATACTGACACGCTTCTGAATCGGTGGATATAGTTTGTTTCAAACAGAGGCTGCTTCGTTTCACGAGATATATTCTGTATGTTGTCTAAATTTAATACTTTCAGAATGGCAGTGTGTTGGGTTCGGAATCAAGGCTCTTGGGGGGTCCTGGAGAGTATGTGAGATGGTCAACATATCCTCCAGCTGTGTCTCACAACCCAACTTCAATTTTTATCTGGCTCAAAGTTTTATCCCAACATCCTCAGGAACTGAGACAACTATTGATGCATCGGCTTCTACGGTAGCAACGGTTTCTAGCAGTGAGTACCATTAGATCAGTGAATATAACAAATGCCAACTCCTCACTCACACACACACACACACACACACACACACACACACACACACACACACACACACACATACACAGGGGAACAGAGGGGGAGGGGGATTTGCACTGCTCATCAAAAACCAATGGAGTTTTGAGGAGATGGGAGGGCTAGTTAGAGGCGTAGTGGACGACTACATAGTAGGACCACATCAAACTGGGGGTTCAGAAATAATGATAGCAGTGATGTACAACCTGCCACCGAACAGCAGGAGGCCAAGATAAGAATGAGGTGAGAGCAACAGAGCGATGGTGGACACACCAGGTGAGGTGGGCAGAAGGGCCCATATGAGCAAGGCAAAGTTACTCATCATTGAGGATTTCAACCATAAGGAGTAAAAGGACACAAGTGCAACTAATGTGACATTTTATCGTGGCAACGTTTCGCTCTCCAGGAGCTTTGTCAAGCAGTTACAAACAGTACATGGACACAGAGGGTATATATAGGCTCAGAGTGAGGTGCAATACTAGTGGTAGTAGTAGTAATACGATATGTTAGAACAATTAACTTGCACATGAGTAATGGATATAGAAGCTATTTCTTGGGAAACATAAAAATTGGTAAGACAAATATTTCTATTGGAGGCGGGATAGAGAAAGCCTGTTTCAATATTCATTCTCTGTAATGTGCTTGTGTAGTATTAACAGGAGAGACTATGTGATGGCAGGGTTTACTGTTTTCAGGAGGATTTTTGCTAAGACTTCAGAGATGGTGAAGCTGCCTTTGTTTTGTTTAATTGTATTAGAAACAGCTATTAGTGAAGATTCAAGGCACTTGCGTCTGCAGAAATTAGTTTCTTTGAACACTAGTTGGGCGTCCCTGAACTTCATGAGATGATTGGTGGAATTTCGGTGTTGTACACAGGCGTTGTTCAAGTTATCGTTCCTACATGCATAAATGTGCTCACTGAGGCGGGTGTCGAGGTTTCTTGCTGTTTCACCTACATAAATCTTGTCACAGCCTCCACAGGGTATAGTGTAAACCCCTGCGTTGACTGGTTCGTGGTGCTTGGATTTTGTTCTGGTTATATCCTTTATCATTGGTAGGTTTCCGATAAACTTGAAATTTTAGGCTGTTGTCTACTTTGTGAATGAGGACGTCGAGGAAAGGTAGCTTGTCATTGGACTCTTCTTCTAGTGTCAACTGGATCGCCGGTTCAACTGCGTTGAGCCTTGCCTGTAGATTCCGTACATCAAAACGTTTGGAAGTTATTACGAGGACGTCGTCCACGTAACGTAACCAAGTGACGCTTGAAGGGATGATGTTGGCGAAGTGTTCGGACTCTAGGTGTTCCATGTACAAGTTGGCTAAGACGGCACTAATGGGGGACCCCATTCCCATGCCGTAGGTTTGTTTGTAGAGCCTGTTATTGAAAGAAAAACAGTTGAAATTAACACAGAGTTCAATCAAGTCAACAAAATCTCAGGGAGGTAGAGGAAGATTAAGGTCCTGATTGACTTTACGTCGTAGAACCTCGATGGCTTTAGTGGTAGGTACTTTTGTGAAGAGGGAAGTCACGTCCAAACTGCTTAGTTTCTTGATACGGATGGAGAGGTTTCTGATGCAGTTGAGAAGGTCGCCTGAATGTTTACGATGAACGGGGCTGATGGTCCCCAGAAGGCAGGAAAGATGTTCTGCAGGAACTCCGCCAACATAATCCCTTCACTTGTTTACGTTACGTGGACGACGTCCTCGTAATAAATCCCAAACGTTTTGATGTACGGAATCTTCAGGCAAGGCTCAACGCAGTTGAACCGGCGATCAAGTTTACACTAGAAGAAGAGTCCAATGACAAGCTACCTTTCCTCGACGTCCTCATTCACAAAGTAGAAAACAGCCGAAGATTTCAAGTTTATCGGAAACCTACCAATAAAAATGATCTCACACACTTCTATTCCAGTCAAGATACTAAGACCAAAAGAGGCATCATCATCGGATTTTTCCTAAGAGCATACCGAATTTGTAGTCCTGAGTTTCTTGACGAGGAATGTACATACATTCACCGAACCTTCACAGATTTACATATTCCTTCCTTTTTCATCAAAGACTGCAAGAAAAGAGCTCTTCATATCATTAATTCTCCACGCACCAACACCACTCCCAACAAAGTTATAATTCTTCCCAACAGCCAGGTTGCACTGAACGTTTCAATAGTACTTTCACAAGCTAACACCAGAGTCGCCATCGCTTCCAGCACTTCAATAAAGGATCTAACCAGAATAAAATCCAAGCACCACGAACCAGTCAACGCAGGGGTTTACACTATACCCTGTGGAGGCTGTGACAAGATTTATGTAGGTGAAACAGGAAGAAACCTCGACACCCGCCTCAATGAACACATTTATGCATGTAGGAACTATAACTTGAACAACGCCTGTTTACAACACCGAAATTCCACCAATCATCTAATGAAGTTCAGGGACGCCCAACTAGTGATCAAAGAAACTAATTTCTGCAGACGCAAGTGCCTTGAATCTTCACTAATAGCTGTTTCTAATACAATTAAACAAAACAAAGGCAGCTTCACCATCTCTGAAGTCTTAGCAAAAATCCTCCTGAAAACAGTAAACCCTGCCATCACATAGTCTCTCCTGTTAATACTACACAAGCACATTACAGAGAATGAACATTGAAACAGGCCTTCTCTATCCCGCCTCCAATAGAAATATTTGTCTTACCAATTTTTATGTTTCCCAAGTAATAGCTTTTATATCCTTTACTCATGTGCAAGTTAATTGGTCTAACATATTGTATTACTACTACTACCACTAGTATTGCACCTCACTCTGAGCCTATATATACCTTCTGTTCCATGTACTGTTTGTAACGGCTTGACAAAGCTCTTGGAGAGTGAAACGTTGCCACGATAAAATGTCACATTAGTTGCACTTGTGTTCTTTTACTTTACATATTGTCGGTAATTCTACCAACTTTATTACAACCATAAGGAGATTGTGAAAATCTGGAGTAAAAAGGGGAACAATAGACGTGGTGCTCCAAGATGTTTGAGGTGATACTAGAAAACTTCATGTACCAACATGTTAGGGACACAACTAAAGAGAAAGAGAGATGATGAACAATTCAGAAATAGGGAATTTCACACACGAAAGGCCCATAGGCGCTGGTGATCACGTGGTCCACAGTTTTGAATTAGTAGTAGAATTAACAATGGAGAGTGAAGCAGTACGAGAAGAACGGGATAAACCAAACATAAAAAAGGGGACTACACAGGTATGAGGCAATTTCCGAATGAAGTGCAGTGGGTAAGAGAGCTAGAGGGGAAAACAGCAAACGAAATTATGGAACATGTGACCACAGAGCGCAAGGAAATTGTGAAGCAGTTCATGCCATGGGGCAACAGAAACATTGGCAGAACTAGTGTGAAACCATGGATTACCGGAGGTGTGCAGAAGCCAACGCCAAGTGTAATAGAGCATGGAAAATGTATAGAAGGCAAAGGACTCGAGAAAGCAGGGAACTGAGCCAAAGAGATAGAAATGAATATGCATGAATGAAGAGAGAGACCCAGCATTAGTACAAGAATGACACAGCATCAAAAGCCAAATCTGACTAAAAGTTGTTATTCAGCCACAACAGGAGGAAAACAGCAACCAAGGACCAGTAAATTAGTCTAAGCAACGAAGGAGGGAAGCTCACAAGGAACAACCAGGAAGTACGTGAGTAGCTCAGCTCACGATTTAGGGACGAATTCACAGTGGAGACAGAGAATCTTCCGGCAAACTGAGGTGGTAGACTGCACCAGCAAACGATGAACATAATGCACACAACTGAGTAGGAGGTGAAGAAAGTGTTTGAAAACTAAATATCTCGAAGGCAGAGGGACAAGATATCTTTGGGTCCTGAGAGAGGAAGAAGATGCACTGTTGGAGCCACTAACAAAAATCTTCAACAAATCTGTCGAAACAGGGCAGCTGCCTGAGGTGTTGAAGACAGCAAACGTACTTGCGATTTTTAAGAAAGGAGGCAGAAAGGCTTCACTAAACTACTAGCCAGTGTTGCTGACATATATAAGGTATGTTAAGTTACGGACAAGATTATCAGAAGAGTGGTGGAACACCTAGAAAGGAATGGGCTCATATATGTAAACCAGCACGTTTTCAGCAAAGGGAAATCCTGCGTCACAAGCCTACTTGGGTTGTAACACAATGTGACATAAGTAAGGTGAGAGAGAGAGCGAAGGGTGGGTAGACTGCATCTTCTGTAAGAAGCTTTTCTACACAGTACAATACCACTGGTTGAAAAGCTAGAGGAGCAGGCAGGAATGGCATGGAAAGTACTGGTTCAAATGGATCAGGAAATACCTTAGAGAAAGAAAACAATTGTGCTGGTATGTGACGAGTTATCAGAGTGGTGCATGTGTCGAATGGGGTTCCAAAAGGATCAATCCTAGGTCCAGTGCTGTTTCTTACATTTGTGAATGACATGACGGAAGGGAAAGATTCAGAAGTGTCCTTATTCGCTGGTGATGGGAAGCTAATAAGAAAGAAGGACGAGGATCAGGTAAGCCTACAAGAGGATATGGAGAGGCTGGAAGCCTGGTCCACCAATGGCTCCTGGAGTGTAACCCCAGCAAGAGCAAAGTTATGAAGCTTGGGAAGGGTAAAGAAGACCGCAGATGGAGTCATTCACGACACAGTACACCTTGTACGTCAGTCTCATATTGAAGTATGTAGCACCAGTATGGAACCCATACCTGGTCAAATAAGTCAAGAAATTAGAGAAACTGCGAAGGTTTGAAACAAGATTAGTCCCGGAGCATCTGGGTATGTCCTATGAGGAAAGGTTAAGGTAACTCAACCTGACGACACTGGAGGACAGGATGGATAGGGAAGACATAACAACGTACAAAATACTGAGAGAAACTGTCAAAGGTCGATAGGGACAGATATTTCACAGATGAGACACAATAA